AGCGCAGAGTGAGGAAAAGCCCCCCAGGCCCACCCCTTCCCTGCTCACGAGCGGTCAGGTGAACCTCAGCCTACAGACGCCAAGCCATACAGAACTTTCGTCATTACTTTCAACTGTACGTAACGTTATTAGACGGGAGGTTTTAGTAGCTCAACAGAAAAGGGATCTAAGAAGTAAAAATTTCCAAGACCCACGAGACTCTGTCTTCATCAGCCACTAGCACTGAGAAGGTATCCAAGCCATCCTATTTTAAAGCAAAGCAGCCCTAAAGGCCAAACTCACAAAGGTCTTTCAGAAATGTTTTAGAGATAATTTGACATGCAAAAATATACTTTAAGACAACTGAAATAATAAAAAAAACACCACTCCAATGTCATCCTAGAAAAAAAAAGAAAAGAAACACAGCAACTCGCCTCCCCCCACATAAAAACCTCCTGTGTTGTTAATTCTGTGGTCAGGCTGGTTAGCCAGATTTCAGTCATTTCTGCCACTGAACCGGCGCCCGTGAGATATTAACTTCTTTCAAGCAGACCCGGTAAATTCCATTGAACCCAGTCTATCGCAAACAGAAAAATGTACAAATACCCTAACCCACAGCCTGGAAGATACCGGTATTAAATAACGGGGATGCTGGCGGCCAGTCCGAGTCACAACCCCAAGTGACAGAGTAACCGGTGAGGTTAAACGCGCCTCCACCGCCAGCTCTGTGCGTGCAAACACGACCCCCTCGCTCCCCGCACCGCAGCCTGCGGGAGCTGGAACTCCGCAGCCCAGGAACTACTCTAGCTCAGCCGCGAGCGACGAGCTCCACTTCACGGCACCCGACGGAAAACACCAAAACCAAGCCGGAAAGACACAAGAAAACTGCCTTTTTCTACATGCTTTAATAAACTCCGATGTCACCAGCGATAGCAAAGCAAAGCAACTGCTCTTTAAGCGGGCAAAATACGGACAAAGCTACGCTCGCCCGCTCCGCACTGACAACCTGCCTGCAGAAGAGGAGACAGAACCAGCCCTTCAGAAAAAATAAAGCATCCCTGCTAGAAAGAACCCAGGGAATTCTCTCGCGGGCGCACGGACGCAGCTAACAAGTGATGCGAAAGGAGGGCCGCGGGAAAGGAAGGCTGCAGCCTGTAGTAAGCAACACACCCCCATCATGTCTTCCCCGCGCTGTCAGTGGGTGGGCTGCTGTCAGACTCCCGCTCTGGCTGCCTCGGGGAGGCTTTAAAAAAA